CATATATATGGCTTCATATTAATAGCTTCATATAGTAATGTTCACACTGCATAACTAGTAACGTTCATTTCTAAATATATATGACTTCATATATCATTTAATATCATACATCATACACATAATTTTTACACAAAAAACATACAAAAAAATACCATCATATAAATATATATAGAAGGTCCAAGCCAAACACAGCAAAACAGAGAACCTTCCAAATACTCATTCACACCAAACTTCCACACATCGATAAGGGGTCCTTCACAACCAGCCGCCTCCAAAACAGCCGTCCTTCCTCAGGTTCCATTGTCATTTGTGACGTCAGAGGAGTTGAGAACTTCTAAGACCTGGTTGTTAGACTCGTCATTCCACAGCGCTTCAAGCCTCTTCATGCGCCGATCCACCCTCCTCACCATACTCGACAAGCGAGTCAGGTCACTCTCAAAATTATCTATGCGTATAATAAGGTATTATAGGGTAGGGGGAGGATCTGGAACAGAGGGTGTTTACCTTCCGCACATCGATAAGGGGTCTTTCACAACCAGCCGCCTCCAAAATAGCCGTCCTTCCTCAGGTTCTGTTGTCATTTGTGGCGTTAAAGGAGTTGAGAACTTTTAAGACCTGGTTATCAGACTCGTCATTCTACAGCGATTCAAGCCTCTTCATGCGCCGATCCACTGTCCTCACCATACTCGACAAGCGAGTCAGGTCACTCTCAAAATTATCTATGCGCATAATAAGGTATTACAGGGTAGGGGAGGATCTGGAACAGAGGGTGCTTGTCGCACAGAAATGGAACTAAAGATGGGGTAATTGGGGCTGCCTGTGTGTCTTCTATGGTTTGGTAGTGAACCATTGGTTGGCCTAGAGGAAGACATTTTCTTATGGGTGCTTCTAATACTACTCATGACATATTTATAGCAGAAGTGGTGGAGCTGTGGGTGGGAGTGTTTGTTGAAACCATTTATGATTCTAATCCATAGTTCAATTAATATTGAACTACCCCAGTACACATTTATTATTCTGTTGGGAATATATTTACATATTATATTGATTTTATGTACGTATATGTTGTGATTTTATGTACTATAAGTATTGGGATTTTCTGTACGTATGTATTGCGTTTTAATGTACGAATTTCTTGAGGTATTATATGCGTACGTGTGTGGATGTTATGCACGTAAGTATTCGCACGATTATTTTGGGATATTTAGTACGAATTATATTGACAAAATTACGTATTTATTAGGTTATAATGCAAAAATACATATGTACATGTTCGTACGATTCTGGCAGAATTAAGTAATTGCTTTGTTGGTCTCAAACCATAAATATATACTCTTATTTTTATATCAATATAAATTTTAGCTTCAAATTTTTTAATTGATATGACTTATATAACTTTATCAACTTATATCATTGCCTTTCATTTACCATAAACAAATAAACAAATAAAAAAAATGGATGTATTTTACAATACCTCTTTTTAGATATTGCTAGCCAGGGATAGTGAGAGTCAAACCGAGGGCAATGGGTCAACATGTCCCAACACCTAAGCCAACAATCCATTCTTGGTCTTAGTGTTTGATTGATACATTTTTTATCCTTCAAGTAACATAGTGAAACTTGTGCAAAGGTGAGTGTTAAAATTGGGGTGAATTCTTGTATAACCATTTGCTATCGTCCAGTTACAATTGCCAATATAAATAATTCATATCTTTGATCCATGTAGGTAAAACAATGTAGGAATGTTTTCTACACATTACTTTATTTTTGTCCTAACTTGTAATGTTTTGTACAAAATAAAAATTAAAAAAATAAAAGAAGAAAAAGGAGGTATTTTGGAATACCTCTTTTTCAAACTTGCCACTCGATGATACTGAGAATCAAATCCAGGACAAAAGGTCAACATTTGCCAACACCTAAGCCAAGAGTCCATTGTTGGTCTCAGTGTTTCATTGGTACATTTTTTATGCTTTAAGTAGCTTAAGTTACATTAATATTTCTGAACAAATAGTCTATCCAATTTGACAGTGATCCTCCTATATCTTCCTTGCTTACAAAACATGGTCATACCCAAAATAAGACTTACGTTTTGTAATATTCGAAGAGTCAATTTACAAAACATGGTGATACTCAACATGTGGAAAATATTAGAAGGATGCACACAATGAATACAATGTCAATTACATGACAGCTAAAGGTAACAAGGCCAGCCGAAGTAGGCCATAAACTTTATACAAGAAGTCCAAAACGTTACAAACATACACACAATCAATGAAAAGTCAATTACATGATAAGTTTCTTCTCAATATTGAAAGAGTCGATGCTGAGTTGGATGATTCATCCCCGACGTCATTGCCATTTGAGATGTTGGCGTCACATTCGCTTGCCTAGTTGTCTGCAATTAACCAAAACAACAGCAAATGTAATCCAACTAATTTTACTAAACTGTTATATGCGTTACTATAATGAGAACAATGAAATCTATTAGTGGAGAATGAATAAATAAATGATTATCTCATCACCTCCCAAACGATGAGCACTTGATTCATCATATGAAGAGGGAATACTGAATAGTTGAAATGATAACATGGCTGGATCGCCAATATCAGCCTAAAACATTTATATTGTTGACAATACATATTAAGGTAGGAAGAAGGGAGGCCTTAGGCATCCCCCCAGACTGCTATATGATTTTAACCATACCATTGATCAGCTTAGTTTATCTGATATTCCAGTGGATAATGGATAATTTACATAGGTTAATAAAAGGTTTAGTCAGAGAAGAATTTATGTAACGCTGGATGAGGTCTTATGAACCACGATTGGGATAATGTATTTCCATCTTCACACATTATTCTTACTCCACAACATTAATTTCAGATCATAGGCAACTTCAACTGAAAATTCCTTTGCACATTAGTAAAGGTCCAAAGCCTTTTAGATTTTTGTTAATGTAGAATAAATAGGAAGTGGTTGGCCACATTATCTCTGATGTGTGGAAGACTAATAGTTATAGGAATCCAATCCAGAAGCTACTGTACAACTTTAAATTGGTTAAAAGGGCTGTAAAAAAATAGAATGTTGAGAAGTTTGGGTTTGTTTTTTAGAGGTTATTGTTATTACAAAGTCTCTTAAGCAAGTGCAATTCAGTTAACTAAGAATCCTATGAATGATGTTTTCATTGAGGAGTAAGATATTAGATAGAAATTTGAATGTGCTAACTCTAATGAAGCAATTATTCTGTCTCAAAAGACAAGAATTACATGGATGAAGGACCAAGACAGGTGCACAAGGTTTTTGCATCAACAAATTAAAGAACATACGGCTCAAACCAATATTATTATCATTCAGGATGCGGAAACGAATTTTATACATGATTATGGGCATGTGAAATACAATAAGGAACTTTATTTGGGGGCATGATGAAGATATTATGAAGATACGAGGAATTTAGAATGGAAGAAGCTTGTTGCTCCTAAAGAAGAAGGTGGTTTGGGGGCGAGAAAAGTTTTGGATATTGATTTACCTGAAAAATGTGCATTAGTTTCGGATTTTTTACTATCCAAAGATAGGATTTTGGTGGTTGGGTATAAACATTGTTCATGTTACCTAAGGAATACATCCTTTTGGCAGGTCATTCCAAACGTTTCAGATTCTTTTATATGGAAAAGTATAGTTGCATTTTGGGGGACTTCATAAAGATCAACTGTAAGTATGTTATTGAAAATGGAACTGACATCAACATTTTTCTTCATCCTTGGAGTGATGGTAAAATGATGTCAATTTGTTATTCACATACAGTTTTCAATCAAGGGTTTTGGGGATGAAAATGGATAATATTCCAACTGATCTACATCAGTCTTTTTCTGCAATACAAGATTCATGGAAAAACAAGGAAAATAATGCATCTTAATTAACACACTTATATGGTTAGTTGATGAAGTACATGGTTCACCAATATTAAGCTATCTATTGTAGAATACATCTAGTGGTGTTACATAAGATTCTTCATTCATAAATTGGACAGGAATTTATGCACCTTAAAATATTTCATATGAACATTAATCAACATGTTAACCAACAATCCTGAATACTAACTACTTATCTATAATATACTTACAATAATACTCACATTCACTAACACGTAGGATGGGGTTGATGGACTATCGCTGCCACCGGCCTCTCCCAAAACAACAGTTTCATTTTATATCTAAAACATAAAATTTTAGTTTTTTCCACTCACGAGTGTTTTTTGAGGAATGATATAATGCTATGAAATCGAATTTATTTCTTTCGCATGTTCAAATAGTTAAACAATGAAATAGCAGTGCGTGCGACAGTAACGTATACATGGCCTATTGTTTTCATTGACTTCCTCCTCTTCCCACTATTTAACTCTATGGCTGGTTTCAGCCTCTTGAATCGTCCTTTAAAGGTATCTTTAACTTTCAGGGACATGGGAATTGTTCCATTGCTGCTTTTGACCCTTTTTTTTCCCTTACCCCTTGCAATTTTCTCTACAAACCTATGACCACAACTTATTTGTACTGTTCTTTTCCAGTCCAGTGCTTTTTCTAATAGATCATTATATCCTTCAGGATCGTGCGATGCAATAGAAGATATTTCAGTCAGTATACGGCAAAGTATCCTATGCCGTCGACTAATCTCAAGTTGAGGATCCGGATTCACGTCGGTGGAAACAATTTTCATCCAACTTACCATCTCTAGCATTTCTAGTCCACCTTTTTATTATATCGGGAAGGCAACTCATTCACAAACATGCAGTCTTTAAGGATTTTCAGACTGTGCTTGCATAAATAACCCTCTCTTTCAAATTTACAACATGAGCATGGCAATTCATCTTCAAATGTCCTGATTACACGACGTTGCACCCCGTTCTCACCAGTAACTTTATAAACACTGTGTCCATTATTATCCAAGTTGCTACAACTAATAGCAGCCTGACTCGTAAGGGTAGCTAAAAACTTCTCCTAGAAAAGCTAAAATATTGCCTTGTTGTACACCTTCCTCACTTGACGTAATATGTGGCACTTTGTTTTTAGTTCCAGTTGCCTCTCCACCAAGCCATACTTGGCTTGATACTCCTTGTACCACTTGTCCGACAATAATCTGTCAAAGTGTGTGAAGAATTCTGGTAGAATAATTTGTCTGGAAAGGTAATACTTCAATTGACCATTGAAGCTTTCACTCAATTGCGTGCTACTCATTCCTGCAGGCCAGTCGTGTTTGACAAATGCTAAGGCCCATTTATGTCTCAAATCTAACACAGTGGAAAGCCACTTATTACCAGCAACACCATACTCTGCAATCATTAAATCCCATTCCCTGATAAAATCATCCTCCTCCTCAATTTGGAACATTAATTTTGAGATGACCTTCTTTATTCCTTCCACGCATTTAAATAGAAACAGTAGGTTCTTCTGCGCATTATTCATTAAGTGCCAAACACATAAATGATGTTTCGTCACCGGCATGACCTGCAAGATTAATTAACTTAATACCTGTATTACAATATTGCAAATACAAAAAATACGACTAAAATAATACGATTGTTTCAGCATGAAAGTGACAAGAATGGAGATGCATGAAAGTTATTCACCTGCTTTAATGCCTTCGCCATTGCAGCGTCTTGATCCGTAATAATCGTCTTTGGCGCTTTTTCGCCCATCGCTTTCAAGAACGTTTCAAATAACCAGACAAATGAATCCGCTGTCTCATCATATGTTAAGGCTGCTCCAAACACAGTGGTCTCCCGGTGATGATTCATACCCAAGAAAATTGCAAATGGTTTATTATCGTGTACCACTTTGTACGTTGTGTCGAAACTAATAACATCTCCAAAATGGCCGTAGTCAATGATCATTCTACAATCTGACCAGAATATGTTTGTAATCATTTGCTCAGTATCCAGTTGCAAGGAATAGAAGAACAAAGAATCTTCACAAGCACGCGTCTCAAAATAATGCACAAGCCATGCAGCCTCTCCATAAAAAAGCTCTTTTTGTCTTCGCGTCCTTAGATAATTTTTAAGATCCACTTTCAAGTACCCAACTGATTCTTTGCCACCAGATTGCCTTCCCATCAACTCATATGCATTACAAGCCGAAACTCCTGAATCCGAAGCCAACTCAATATCAATGGCCTGGACTGAGGAAATTCGTCGCTAGGACGGCATCATGTGGCTGCATTCAGCAATTATGAATGGATGGTTGTGATTTTCTACAAATTTAGAAACTATGTACTTTGCCTTTGTCTTGTCATATCTAAGAACCATTCATGCACCGCAATTGGTTTGTGTTTTAGCCCGGGAGTCTTTCTAAATACATCTCATTTATCAGTCCCCTTCACACCTTCCTTGCTACAAACTAATGCCCTTGATGTAATTCTTCCATTAACTTTATTGCCATACTCTTTCTGGATACTAAAACCAATTCGACCACTATATGCATTGTAAAAATCATATGCCTCTTTCTCACTATCAAACTCCATTTTATACCTTGGTTTCCATTTAATCACTTCCGGTTCTACAACAAGAATGTTTCGTCTGTTTATTGTGTCTTGAATATTATTTACTTCACCTTCCATTAACATATACACAAAATATTAAATTAACAAAAAATAATTTTACTTCTACATACCATATATGACCAATCAAATAAAAAACATTTTCACATGTATGAAAAATTAAATTTGATATATATCTCATTTATTTCTTTACATATATCAATCAAGTATATCCCAGACAAACGAGGATAAAATCATCATTGCCACAACAGAACATATATATCCAACCAACTGATGCTAATTTCACATACACTTTCTGAAAATATTGGGATTAATATTACGCAAAATTTGGGATTTACGTTAGCAAACAGTTGGGATTCACCTTACGAAATAGTTGGGACTCACCTTAGGAAAAATTTGGGATGTACCTTTTCAAGAAGTTGGGATGTAAATTAAGAAACATTTGGGATTCAAATTAGGAAAATTATGAGATAGACTTTACAAATACTTTAAGATTTATATTACGAAAATTTTAGAATCAAACACTCCAAAGTATTGGAATGGTCAGTTATGTACTTTACAAATCTTCTCATTTTTTATCCTCACAAACAAACATTAAAACCCCTAATAACTGCACAATAAAATAACGATCAATTCAAATTCACCAATAATTTTCTATTTCTGAGTTTCTTACCAAAATTGTGTCTATATATTCTTACTAATTATATTTGTTTCTGTCATTCAATTCTTATAGAAATAAGACAATTTCCTTTAAAATCAAATCTCGAAATTATGAATCGTACCTGCTTAGGGTTGGAAATAAAGCAATCTCCTGCTTCGATTTGAAAATACACTCCTGCTTAGCTTTGGAAATACACTCCTGCTTCTTTTTGGAAGGAAATCATAATATGCAATTTTATTGTCACTGACAGATGCACTGTTTCTATTTGGAAACAATTTGTAGCATCCAAATTTTGGGTTGATTCACACAACAATCGCTGCTTCCAGATTCTATTTGGAAAGAAATAAATTTCTAAAATGGCTTTATTCATATTTTGGGAGAGAAGAAGGCTAGTGGCGGGATTTTATTTCTAATTTCAAATGACGCCTGAAATGAGGGAGGGAAGAAGAAGAAGAAATAAGGGAGAAAACAAAAAAGGTGTATTCTTCAACAGTATATACATATATATATATATACACGAAAATTCTGTATTACAAAAATATATTTTTTAACCAAACATGGTAAACACTGTTCATTGACCCAATAATTGAAAAGATGAGAAACAGAAAGTATTTTGGGTCGAGAGGTTTAGAGGTGGAAGGAATCTGCAGGTTTGTATTTCTACCAGAAATGTGGGTTCACCTTCACATTTATAATGAGAGGCAATTTTCCAGAATAGTTACAACGTTTCTGAAAATGTATCTTTTGAATTTGAAACCCCAACGTATACGTTGTGTCTATTCTGAAAAAATAACTTTTAAATCTTAAAAATCAACGTAAATAAACATTTAAAAAAATATTCTTATATATTTCCAGCAATTATCTTATATGACAATTAGGGGATGGAAACAGAGTAGTGCTTACACAGGATTAAAGGGTTAATTTTTTATTTCTATTTTTATTTTTATATTTTAAAAAAGAAATGGTAGAAGAAGAGAAATTTTTTATATGCTCCAAATTGAATTCTCTTCCATGACCGATTGATTTTTTATCACCGGACCAAATGATCCATCCCCTCCTCACTGATTAAACCGTTGAATATATTTTGGGGGAAACACACACACACACACGTGCGATCACATGGAAAGCTGGTGAAAATAACAGCAAATCCAATAGGAATTGATGCATAAACAACCATGCTACCAAAAACACAATTCTATAAACCTTCATTCTTCACACTCCACCTTCAATTCATTCCTTCAATTTTCCATTTCTCAACTCTATCTCAAGCCCATGAAACCCTCTCTGGCCAATCATTGACCATAACCAAACAAGCCTTTACTTCTCTCTTACATTCTCACTCTTCACACCCCAACCATCTCAAACAAATCCATTCACTACTCCTCACAACAGGTCTCTCCGTTAAGAACAGCCTCATAACACAGCTTCTTACCTCTCTCTGTGTCTTGGGTGATATGTCATATGCACGCCAACTGTTCGATGAAATGCACAAGCCAAGGCCTTTCGTCTGGAACACCCTCATTAAAGGGTACTTCAAAAACGAACTTCCCAATGAAGTTGCCTCAGTTTATAGACAAATGCACCATATCGATGTTCGACCTGACCCTTTCACGTTTCCGTTTGTTGTGAAATGTTGTACCGAGTTATCTGAGTTGTGGGTTGGGGTGGCTATTCATGCTCATGTTTTGAAATATGGGTTGGAGTTCATTGCTATGGTGAGGACTGAATTGATGGTTATGTATGTGAAGTTTGGTGAAATGGGTTCAGCGGATTACTTGCTTGAGAGTATGGTTGAGAAGGATTTAGTGGCTTGGAATGCTTTGATATCTGCGTATGCACAAAATGGACATGCTAGTAGGGCTCTGCAGTTGTTTCATCAAATGGTTGTGGGTGAAATTAGGCCTGATTCTGTGACTATTGTGAGTGCTTTTTCTGCTTGTGCTCATTTAGGGTGCTTGGAAATTGGAGAGGAGATTTATGGGTTGGCAAGAAAAGAAGGGATTGATATCAATGTAATTGTTGACAATGCACGGCTTGACATGTATGTGAAATGTGGAAGCATTGACATGGCAAGGAGCTTATTTGAAAACATGCATAATAGGAATGTCATTTCGTGGAGTACTATGATTGGAGGGTATGCCATGAATGGGGAGAGCAAGAAAGCACTGGAGTTGTTCTCTTCAATGCAGAATGAGAGGGTGCAGCCGAATTATGTCACCTTTCTTGGAGTTCTATCTGCTTGTACCCATGCTGGGCTAGTAAAAGAAGGATGGTATTATTTCAATTACATGGTTCAATCCAACAAAAAAGATATTAAACCCAGAAAAGAACATTATGCTTGCATGGTTGACCTTCTTGGCCGATCAGGACATCTTAACGAGGCTTATAACTTCATCAAGAGCATGCCCATTGAACCGGACTTAGGGGTGTGGGGAGCTTTATTAGGCGCCTGCACAATACATCATAATGTAGCATTGGGCCAGCATGTGGCGGATTCACTCTTTGAATTAGCTCCTGATATTGGTTCATATCATGTTCTGTTGTCAAACATGTATGCAGCTGCTGGGAGGTGGCATTGTGTTGAGAAGGTGAGGCTGAAAATGAAAAAGAAAGGTGCAAAGAAAGTGGTTGCTTATAGCTCAGTTGAATTTAATGGTCAAATCCATGTTTTATATAGTGGAGACAGATTGCACCCCCAGGCAACAAGGATATACAAGAAATTAGAGCAATTATTTAAACATATGAAGAGTATGGGTTACAGTCCAAAGACTAGTTCCGTGTTACATGATGTAGACATGGAGGAAAAGGAAGCCACACTAAACAGTCATAGTGAAAAGCTCGCTATTGCATTTGGTCTTCTCAATGTTAGACCTGAACTCCCAATTAGAGTGATAAAGAATCTGAGAATTTGTGATGACTGCCACACTTTCTCTAAGCTTGCGTCAGAAATTACAATGAGAGAGATCATTATGAGAGATAAGAACCGTTTTCATCATTTCAAAGATGGTTTTTGCTCATGCAATGACTTCTGGTGATTGTGAGACATAAATATTTCTGTGAAAAAGGCGAGAAGATGAAAGCTATTTATTTTGGTGATTTTATATCTCAACTGCAGTCTGCAGTTATGAGATGAACAATGGTGAGCTCATTATGAGGGGAAGGAAACTAATGTTCAAATATGGCAGAAGTCCATCTCAAGACTTTACTCCTGGTTACAGTAGAAGACATCGTGAAAGCTACACGAGTAGTCTGATAAAATAGATTGATAATGTGAGCTGAAGCTCAAGTTGGATGTATTGTTGAGCATTTGGTAAGCTTGTTTGGGACAGGACCATCCATGTGTATCCCCCAGAAAGCATGGATGACAAGCTAATAAATGCCGCAGCTATTGGATCCACTACCTCACATAGATGAAACAACTGATCGTCTCATTTCCTTAGTGTTTTGAATCACTCTACAAGCTGAAGCTGCCAATATTATATGTCTGGCGTGACACTGAAATCTCATTAGGTGAATTCTCGTTACTTAAATGGATTCAAAGCTCCCCAAAACAGAAGGAACTACAGGTTGCTGTTGTGATGGACTTGATCAGCAACCAAACTGCAAGAGATCAATACTTACAGAAACCACAAGTGACTAAAATTTCTCGGATCGGACAGGTCACTTATTTATATCCTTTTACTTTGTATCCCTCTGTATTATGATTGAAGCACCATTTTTGGAAAAAGAAGAAAAGAAACCCTTTATTTCTAGTTAGCATTAAATTCCATCAAGTTGAATTTAAAAGTGTTGCAATGATTTTGACTCTCATTACATCTTTAAACAAGTAGGAGGAAAGTTGATTTTGATGAAACTTATTTGACAGCAGCAGCTCTTTGTATACTCCAAATCCACAACTTGAAGTGATCCGCTCATTCTTTGGTTTTGAATGCTGCTTTTGAATAATCCAACAGTAGCTAATTCAATATTACAAAATTTATACGAGTCTACCTGTTTCTTGTTGGCTTTGGTTCTTAACTTCGAAGTCACGGGTCAAGTTTCGAGACTTCTAAAAAATCTTTTCATGTTTGGAGACAGTATGCCTCTCTTACTCATCATGCCTAACCTCTCGACCAAATGTGTCATCTTTATTGTTTAGTTGGGCTTGTTATTTGGTATGGAGCAAGAGAGTACATGGTTATGATTGAGGGTTGGTGGTTGGGACGACCAGTGGCGGAGCCACATTGGGACAATTTTTCATTTATTTGTATTTTTTACTTATAATTTTTTATAATTCTAAAATTGCCCCCACTGATTTTTTAAAATATTCATTAAAGACCTTAATAAAAACTTGCAAAAGTGAAAAGATCCCTCATTTTTTAAATCATTTACCCAATAAGACTTTTAAAATTCAGTAGACCCATGTACAAGAATCAAAAAAAAAAAACCCTCCTTTGCTATTAAATTTTCTGTTATTTGTATTTTCTATACACGAATTTTGATAATTATAAGAGTGCCCCGATTGAACTCCTAAAGAATTTACAAAAGACCGAAAAAATAAAAACTTCCAATATTCAAAACTACCTCTCATTTAATTAATGTGTCCAACAAAATTTTCAAATTTCAGAAATGACCTTGCTTGTTCTCCTCTGGTGGGTCCCACATAATTTTTAAGAATAATAAAAAATAAAAATAAAAAAACCTCTGCAATTTTTTATTTTGGTTCAATTTTTCTTATCATATTTAATATTTCTTTGCACACTAAAGATATCAAAAATAAATAAAAAAGTAAAAATGGAAAGAAGCTGAAGAGGTTTTGACGATCCCTCTTTGATTTCTCCACAGTGGTATCTTCGTTTCCATTCTTTCTCTTTCTGACTCACGGTTCTCTTTTTCACTTTGCAAAATTGAAGGGAAAACAAATGATTGTTTTCATTCTTTCTCTCTCTGACTCACGGTTCTCTTTTCCAATTTGCAAAATTCAAGAGAAACAAAGGATTGAGAAGTCTCTATTGGTTCATAAAATCAAAGGGGAAAAATCAAAGGGAAATCTCTATTGGTTCATAAAATCAAAGGGAAAAACACATATCGGTAAATACTATGTATAGTGCAAATAGAATTAATGAATGATTCGAGGATACCAATAATTATATCCTTTGATAAATTTGTGTTGTTTTCATCCAAGTGATTATATTCAACATTACTTTTTACTTATATATGATATGCTAAAAGAGTAACCCATATATGATCCACTTTGTAATGAACTTTTGAAGTTTATTAAAAAAAAATTTCTAATCAAATCCCCAAATGAATACATTCTTTCAATCTTATTAGGATTTATTTTTTTTTCTTCAAGCAAACATATACGTTTATATGTATTTTCCCTTTTGATTTTATGAACCAATAGAGACTTCTCAATCCTTTGTTTTCCCTTCAACTTTGCAAAGTAAAAAAGAGAACCGTGAGTAAGAGAGGGAAAGAATGAAAAAGAAAATACCACCGTGGAGAAATCAAAGAAGGATCGTCAAAACCTTTTTAGCTTCTTTTCATTTTTATTTTTTTATTTATTTTTAGTATCTTTAGCGTGCAAAGAAATATTAACGATTTAGGTAATTATATAACAATTACATGTAAGATTCGGACTAAGAATAAGCCTATTTGACATCATAGCAATTTCTATTATCAACGACCTACGACATGCCCCTTGTATGTGCACAGAAGGCCATTACCAAGTACTGGCAGCGTCATGCAATAGGGGATGGAACTAGATATATATATTTTTGATCAAAACTGTGTTTAGACCATGTATAGAACCACCTATGTGATATCTCGGCCTCTTTACATAGTAATAGTTTTTTTTGGCTTTTTACGCTGCTTTGTATGATTTTGGAGAACACGATTCCAGTGAAACATTATTCAGTGGGTTACATTAGGATCATGGTTAATATGGATGCCTAGCATAATCAAGAAAAATTACTTGTCCAAGTAGTCCTACGTTGTTTTTATTTATTTATTTATTTATTTTTATCATGACAATTGGAATGTTTGTGTTTGAGTTCTCCATGGCCTCCTCAATTATATAGACTAAAAGTTCCTATCCAATCCTGAAATTAAAGCAAACATCACATGTTATTAGCATGGAAAGTCTTCAATGTGGGCCAACATGTCCTAGAATAGGATTTTCAAAAATTACAATATGTCCAAAAATTATTTTGTAGTTGTGGAGTTATATAATATAATGGAAAAAACGTGAATTGTGCTTTTAGTTGACCAGAAGCAAAAAAACGTGAATTAAAAAAAAGCCATGAAAGATGTCCAAGTCTGTAGGTATGTGAGTGAGTGGAGGTAAAAGGTATGAACACACTTGGAAATTAAGTTTGAGGAAGAGGACATACCTGTGTAATTGCTGTAGGTTTGTCCACGAGGTTCTGGAAGTGGCAGAGAAACTCATTCTTAAGGTCTTGTTGAAGTATTTGACACGAATAAATTAATAAAATTTTTAATTAATTAGCGTAGTCTATTGGAGTTGATTGTGTAATTGTGAAAAATGATAAATGTCTTAGCTACAATAGTTTAGGTACCCACTAATGGATAAATAATTTTCCTTTACCTATTAAAGATATGATAATCACATCATTCTTGCTCACATAAAACAATTTGATACTTAACCTTGTTATTCCGATCTCAAAACAAAAATAAGGGTTTTGTAGGCCTCAGTGCCCCCATCCTTTTTGCCCTTTTACAGCAATGCTTGAATCACGAGGGAAGTTGGTGTAAATGGAGCTTAAAAGCTTGAAGGAATAATGTTAATGGAGTTTTACAGAGAGGAAGGGAAAAGAAGAAATAAAGGAGAGAGAGAGAAATAGGTTATTTGGCGAAACGCAAAATAAACAAGATCATGAAGAATAAAAAAAATCACACACAAGAACACAAGATATACATGGTTTACCCAAATCTTAGGGCTACGTCCATGGAGCACACCGAACAAATTCACTATGAAGAAGATGAAGAATTACAATGGATAATTCTCTCTCAATCTCTCTCAATTGCTCTATCTTGTACTCGATCGGACTTGTTTTGACAACGAAATTAGCCAATATACAATATATATATTTTTCACAATTTCCCCAAAATATATATTTCACAATCTCCCCCTTTGGCAATTTCATGACAAAACTCTAAAAATAACATGTAATCTACCCAAGCAGAAAAAGCAAATTACAATTATTGTCAAAGAAAAGCTGTCATATTAGGTTTCCAAAAAGTATAGTTATAACCATCAAACAAAGGAGTACGTTGAATAGATTCAAATTTGTGGCAACAACAAGTATTAATAAATATCATTTCTACTTTCTATTTTCACTTAAGAAAACAAAATTATATTTCTACTTTCTTAAGATTACAAAAACAGAAAACGAAAACGTTATTAAACGCACCCTAATAAAGAGCACCCACATTGGGCTCGCAGAAATGGGTTCTATTTATATTAAAAGTGTAAAGAGTTATACTATTTTTTAAATTAATAAATAAATATTAAAATACTAAAACTCTTTACACTTTTAATAATAGTATAAATAGATATACATATATTTGTATTTTTCCTAGAAGCTAGATATCCGGACTGCTTGCTAACCTTATTGTGAATATGGTCTACTAAGCTAACCTTGCTTATATAGGCATGGGTAGTCGAACGACTATAAGTGAAACAAAAGCGCATAACACCTAGGTATTAGCTGTAATATAAACGCAAATGAAGGCTTAAATAATAAAAATCGCTAGAACATTCTAGTCATTTAAAGTCCAACATTAATAGTACTCCATATCATTTAAGTCTTTTGACCGCTAAACGATTACATCCTTTTCAATCGAAAAAGATAAAAACCCCAATCCCAACACTCACCGACTATGAGTTAGAGTCCCCACATCCCACCCCAACTCACAAATGGTGGGTCAGGGATATATACATGTTCTTGCTTTAATCTTGATCTGGTTGATTTTAAACTGGTTTTAATTCATGTCAATGATATATGATACTTACTTATAATTAATTCTGGGACATATCAACTCCATCCACCAGAATATATCACAAAACCACCTTGGGGAGGGTTTGAGCCTTCCCCTTGGCTTTTCCAAGAGAAGTTTGGACAATTAATATGTAATTGAACACGGAATACAAAAATGAATTAATAAATAAAATAATAAAAGCTGAAAAGAGTTCTAAATATTAAAATCCTCCAAACGATAAAGATTAATATAATCCAACCTTTCCAAAACCTCCAAGAGTACAACTCGGGAATCCATTCTCCTCAGGCCATTACCATATTCTTGCTTAATAATATCAGTCACCTGAACATTATCGACCGCCGTTGGCTGATTAGGATGATCAACAATTAGTCGATCTTGATTTACCAGTAGCGGCTTATTTACCATTTGTGGCTGATTAGCCATCGACTGCCCCCCGAGTACCAAAGGTTTTGGCTGATATACCACTGGCGGCTGATTTTTCGCTAATGGCTGATTATAATTTGGACACTTGTAGAGGAGTTGCCACATTTATTTTGTCTTGAGCTGTCCATTTCCCTAAGGTGGGAAGGATGCTCCTTTTTACAATGAATTCACAGGGATATATGTGGCCCAATTCATCCACCTTGCGGACCATTTCGTTATTTTATGGTCTTAATTGATGCCTCAACACGGTGGTCACATGTTTGTTTGTTTTCTACTCATAATGTTGCATTTTCTAGACTCCTTACTCAAATTATCAAATTGCAGGCACA